TTCACGAAATCATTTCATCGATCTGAGTAAAAACTAAGTGCATAAACCCTATTTCGCGTTAATTGTAATCATGAAATGGTGTTCATTCATTCAGTTTCTACTGAAACGCATGAAATGACTTCATGAATTGGCCAACGCATAATGGTAGTAAATGACAGAATGAATTACAACAAACACAGCCTTTTGACATAATGCAAGCCGAAAACGTTGGTTCAAATCAATCCGCAATTAAGTTGGTCGTTTTGCCCACAATAATTGCAATTTTGCGAGCAATCTCATTGTAAAATCTCATTTTTCCAATTTCATAGTTTCGGCTTACATTTATAAAATTCAACGAAAGCACGTACCTTTTTCGGCTGAGTTATCCATTTTCGGTTATTTAGTGTACAAAATAAACGCAAATTAAATGAGTTTGTACAACATGCCCATTAATGTAGCGCTAAGTTGTATAAATTGCCAGAAAATCCAAATTTTTTGATCTTTCATACAACCAAGACATAAATTCATTCAACAGGCCCACAAACGGTGCAATATAGAGCAAAACAACACCAAGTTGAACCAACGGTTGCCACGTTTAACATCGGGCGAAAATTTCAACTGCTCCTGTAACACTACCTTATATAAGTTGGCCTTGCTATCATCCTCACATATGTTCATCAGAGTATACCCATGATGCAATAATACAAGGTGGTATCAGTTGTGACAGCTCGATTTGACGCATGCCTTAGCTCAGTAGAATAAGAAGAAAAACGGGAAGAACTGAATCCCCATTTGGGGGGAAAATATAAAATTTCATATTTTCTTCTAAACAAAATTTGCTTTTTTATAGTATATTCGCAATGAAATGAAGTAAAATAAGATATAATACCTTTTTGAGAAAACAGAATGTGTATACTGAGAAAAAATAAAAAAAAAATGCAACTATATTATTAGGCAAAGAATTGTTAAAGAAGTAACACTGTTTGAGTTAAGGCAGTCAATATGGCGGAATTAGAGCGAGAAGTTGCCAACTGATAACACCTTGTATTATTGCATCATGGAGTATACCAACGAAGGACGAGTTTATACAAGGAGATAGAAAGAGCACAAAACTACTCTAGAAAATTACACGCACAATGACAAACATGAACAAATGTAAAAGAAGCACATCATTTTTGGCAATCAGTACAGTTCGCATTTATATCAACGAGCAGCTTATTAGATTTGTTTTCGTTTGTACTACATATGTGCATCTACACCCTGCAGTGAAACCTCAAACTATTCAGGAAAAATACTAGTTTACAACTAGAATTTGCTGACTGAAACCGAACTAGTTCGAAAATGACCAGACTTGTACGAAGTACAAAACGATTTATTCGTGCCCTGTTTTATTTGACTTCGACAGTTTAATATAATAAAGTACACCAAATATTATAACTTTTATTTGGGTATATTGTAAACCATTAAAGCGAGTACATATTCAGT